AATATATTAGCAGTGATGATGTTAGTACCAGGAGTTGAACAACTAGTGGGTAGACAACACATATACTGGCCATCACCAGGTGCCCCAAGAAAGTTTGGTGGATTTATGAAAACACTGAGATTAGCAGCTGAGGAACCAGTAGTACATTGAACATTTTGATTGTTACCATTGCCACAAGGAACTTCTCCATTAGGACCAATCCATTCTCCACCATTCAGAGTAGCACCAGGTAATGCACACTCTAGAGGAGTTGGTCTGATGCTACCGTCAGTAAAATATGATCCATTATTAGTATAACAAGTTCCATTATGCCTCAGGTAGATACCTATAAAAACCTATACAGTTGTTATTATACACATCCAGTGTCTTACCTGAGGAAGGTGGACATTGACTAATAACTTCACTGACACTCAACAAGAAGACAACCACTTGTAGTGAAAGCATTGTTGACCAAAGAAATGTCTGTGGGTGTGTTTATCAACTGTTGTGGTAGTTCAGCAGATAGTTTTGTGAATAGATTTAGTAGCCCACTCCCTGTGTGTACGTGACTACATGATGTAACAATAGCAGCAACAATGCTACATGATGTTAAAGGAATTTAGTACAATTTACCATTACAATACAAGAAAGACCATTTAGCTTTGCTGTGCAGTCTTAGAGCCTATAGTGTAGATTATACACGTACACATTCAAGAGGAAAAACAATGAAAAAGAGGCTGAGATCATTACTGATGTAATGCCAGGGTTGCCTGCTCTGCTCAAAAAATCAGGAAAATAGCATTACCATTATCCAGCAATAATATTCAGTAAATAGACATTATAAATAAATAATAATTGTGACTAAATGCTGTTTTTAAGGTGAAGCAGTTTACTGGTAGAGTACATCAAGCAGACAATGATGTTTCTCAATTGTCTGTCGGGACTGGTGAAGAAGAGAAGGGTCATTCCTTACTAGAGGGTAACTATGATGAACTAGCCAGTGCAACAATGTTCCAAGAGGCATTAAGATCATGGAGAAACTCTGGTATGGAGAAACTCTGGTAAGGAGCAAGAAGCATCATCAATTAGTAAGAATTAATAGTATTTATGTATGTTGAAATTATAATAGTGCATTTAGCTGTAGAGTCTATCTCATGTGGTGTTCAAGCTGCTCCTAGTCATGATGCTGAGAGGAAATTAAGTTCTTTAGAGTCAATGAGCACTAATAATCCCAGCAGCAATGCTTCCTCTTACTTTGAGACACTTCTACAAACTCATTCTTTAGTTCAATTGGTCCACTTGTGTCTCCAAAGATTACCTCTCAGCCATTAGTTATGGAGGATGATGATGATATTCATATAGGAGATAAGCAGAACCAGTCTTCATTGATGATATCTTGATGACAGTGCATGTTTTTACTTATAATAAACCAACAGGCAATCTCTTCTCACTGCATTTTAGGGAGCATAAAGTACATACATTATTATGTGTACAACTCATAGCTAATAATACATTCCTTTTTTGCTTTTGAATATTTTTTAACCTTGTATTTTGTTTTTTGTCATTGTATTTTTAATTTTGTTGTTCTTCTTATTATTATTAATATTATTATTATTATTGCTATTATTATTATCATAGATTAAAGCAGGTTAATGAGGTTGTTTTATTTCGTACATGTGTATCTTCTTTATAATTTTAAAGAAAAGTAGTTGAACCTCACAAGGAAATGAGTTAATTTTTGAAAGCAAATTAAAATTAAGTTTACACGTGTGACAACTACTTAGCAGGCATTGAGTGTGTGAAATCATATGGTGAAATTGTATTGTGTATGAAGATATTTATAACTTAGAAGTTCAGAGTAGTGTGAGTCATTTCCTTCATATAGCAGTTCCTGTTATTGCATCTTCAGGAATTTTCCTCAGTTTCAGCTTTAACCTTTCCCAAACATAACACCATACTATATAAAGTAACTGAAAACTTCATTGATTAGATAACATCAAAAGAACAAACTGCAAAAATTTGACTAAAAGTAGCTACAATAACACTAATGTGATTATACAGTATAATAGACTCAGTATGATGTATATCTAGAGAAGTATGTATATAGTTGTGTATATCTATGTCACACTATCCAGCTACAAAATGAATATACAAGCACATGGACATTTTATACTGTTGTATTACACAGTGTACATGTACATGTATATTAAATTGCACTGTTAGTTTTTACTGGTTCATATCTTCATAAATAGTAGTGTCATTAGCATTGACATCAGGACACTCATATACTGCATCTTTTGCAACATTTTTAGTCTTGTGAATACCATATATTTGACAAGCTTGCATTGGTATATCATCATCAAACCTATCATAAACAATAGTAATGTACAAACAGTTAGTTATTCTTAATGAGTGTTTATTCACTTTGTTTGCTTAGCAGTGGTTGTATCATAGGTTTTAAGCCTACATG